ATAGAGTGCTGAAGTCACGCCCCTTCCGGTGAAGCTCATGGGATCTTAGATCGGAAAAAATATGAATGGCAGTGAATGAGGAGAGAAATATTATCTTTTGGTCCCGTTTGAGTTGTGACATGAAATCTAAATATGTTGTTAATGAATTTAAAACATACATTTTAAGGTCAAGAAAGTCATACTTTTTGGTAAAACTGTTGAGATATAAGCTTTTTAATTAGAAAGACTCAAGAGTACACAGGAGGAGGTCACGTATGTGACATCATAGCTTTCACTCACTTCCTGCAGCTTGGCCTCCCCACTGAAATTCCACTGTTTTATGATTAATCGATTTATGATTGAAGATGTCTGTGTGTTTTGTGCCAGGTTGCAGTCACTCCAGGAAGCGAGCGAAAGCTATGACGTCACATACCCGACCTCCTCCTGTGTAGTCTTTCTAATTACGTTTTTTCAAAAGCTTATATCTCAACAGTTTTACCACAAAGTGTGACTTTCTTGACCTTAAAATTTATGTTTTAAATTCATTAACAACATATTTGGATTTCATGTCACAACTCAAACGGGACCAAAAGATAATATTTCTCTCCTCATTCACTGCCATTCATATTTTTTCCGATCTAAGATCCCATGAGCTTCACCGGAAGGGGCGTGACTTCAGCACTCTATGAGACGGGAGGCTCCAGACTGCAGCCATACAGTTTTGGCGACTGTGGGCTACATGGGATGCGTACACATTACGTCCACATGGCGGCGCCATGGCATCACCTCTCCTACCCCGAAATATCATTACAAGAGACTATAATTATGATTAATAATAAGATTATTTTAACAACATGAAGTACTGCAACAACAAAATATTGTTTTGGCAAAATAGATTTTGTCTTACTGCCATAATGTGAACAATTACGTGAAAAATGTGCTCCATAAAAATCACTTGGAGACATTACACAAACATTTAAGAGAAAATATCTCACACAAAGAGCAAACCATTCTTTAAAATACAAAATAAGTAACATCAACTCTTTCTTGGCACAGAAGTATGCTTGATAATAGAGTAGATTATAAATTGAGATTATAAATTGTAAGAATATACAGTCCTAGTAACTGTCAAGTACTCTAGGCCTCTAAACTGCAACAAATAAAATATACTAGAGCACAAAACTAAATAAACTTAAATTGTAGTTGTGCTACTACAGACAGTGCCACTGTACTTGGTGAAAACATTTTCCTAGCAAAAGTATTAGTGGCCAGGCAGTGCTAATAGTGCATGTGAACATAAACTAAAATTGTAGTAGCACTACTGCTACAGACAGTGCTGTACTGGATGAAAAGTTTTTACAGTGTAGAAAAATATCGAAATATGTGTATATGTTGTAAGTATGTAGGTGTGTACAGTGTATGTGCATACGTATTCTGTGTGCGTGTGTGTTTGTGTGTTTGTGTGTTTGCATAATTGTATGCTGTAATTCTTACGTGACAGTTCGTTTCTCTTCTGCCGTTCCTCCGTGCTCTCTTGCAGTAAAGATCCAATCCCAAGCCCCTGCTTGCGTCTCTTTACAATATCCACAGCATGTAAATGTCCTTTTGTTCCAACATGTCACTTAAGGAAGTCTAGTTTCCACTCACTCCACACGTTCCCCTCTGAAAACTCGCCTTGAACCTTCGCTTCACTGCACGTCTTGCAATTCAATCCAATATCAGTTGAAAAAGAAAAAATGTCGCCGAGCTTCACAGGTGGCGCCCGCTCGTCGTTCCCAGTTTGAATATACTCCGACAGCCACTCCACCTTGAACGACGTGCATTTTTTCTTGCAATTTTGAGAGGATAAAGTGCCAGAGCCGTCGTGTTTAGCCATAGCTGCATTGCTAACGGCTAACAACAAAACAAATGCGCCAACAGCAGCTTCTCGACATAATGCCATTGATTGGCTGTCAAGCTACACAGCCGTTGCAGGATTGGCTGGGCAGCGCCTGGTGGGCATGTTTTTTTTAAATCATCACTGACTGATTGTCACCTGTCACTCATTGAATAGACAAACACCCACAATGGGATGCGTTCAAGTTCACTGTTAAAGTCAAACATTTCACCATTCACAGCACATATTAGGAGGAGGGAAAAAAAACAGTGAAAACTGGTCGGGGATATTTGAGTGCACAACTTTTTTGTCTTCTGCGCAAAGAGGTGGGGAGCAATGCGCAATTGCGCAGTAAAACACCTTAGAGGGAACAGTGGTGCCCACAGATAGAGTGTGATGTCAGCAGTAACTTAGAGATCTTGTATTAGTGGTTTGTTCATTATTCTGTGTGATGTGGATGCTCACTCTGTTTAACTCACCTTATACTTACCTGGGCAGGTGTTAGGCTCCAGTTATCCGGGACTGGATTTCATTTTTTGCTATTAGTTTCAGTAAACTTTTTGTTAACAAATGAAATGTTTTTTGCACAGCTCCTGCTTATTTGTCTGGTTTTTCAGCTTCCCTTTTATAAAGTTCTCTGCTGCCAAACCACCTTATCTACTCTCTGTATGGGATGAAGGCATGACGGTGAACCAAAATGATTGGATTGCACCAAACCACATTCAGTTGGTTGGACCCAATGGAGCTCAATGGACTGTGTTTCACCAAATTTGCAATGCTAATATTTTAACAAACTGCTGCCTGAAAGAAAGGAAAATGTACTCAATGATCTATATTATCACAAAGAGTGGAACATTTTCAACAGTAATGTATAGACTTATGTCATTTGCAGTGCCAAATCATTGGAAAATGGGGCCAAAGTGAATTGAATTTCAGTGGACTAGTTGTTTCCTTTAATGGGCTTTCCTTTATAAGACTGCATTGCAGGTCGTTGATTGTCAAACCATGTCTTGCCAATTTGATAAAGCCAGGTTAAATCCTCCTGTGTGGACATGTCCCCTCAGCATCGTTGTGACTGGCAGTCATCCATCAGATGAGTCAGATTCAGTTGCAGACAGAACAAATCCTCACTGTTCAGGGAGAAGGAACTGAAACTACAGTGTGCTTCCATTAACAAACTGTAAAAGACTTGACATTTGTGCGGGTTTGGATCAACTCTAATATTTTAGAGTTTAAACCATTAAACCCCATAAGGATTAGAGGTGAAGTGCTGTCAAATTGTGTGGTTTTGTTTGTTTTTTCAAAACACATAAAGGATGAAAAGTCAACAAGTCCTAGTGAGGAAAAATTGTATAATTTAGAACATTAAAGACAATGACCTGCACTGGAGAAAGGCTAAATTAGGTCCAATGAACCAATAAAATAAATTATTAAGAGTTAAAGATTGTGAGAAAACACAACATGAGAATGGTAATAAACCGGCATCTGAGGAGGGACTTGAGGTAAAGACAGATCTAACTGAGGACCCCTGATTGTACTGCTAAAGCCTGGTTTCATTGAGAACTGGACTGGGGTTTGGGAATTCCCACAAGGCACCTGCCAAAAGATT